GATTACCGGAGCCACTACCTGTTCTCTTTGGCTGTTATGCTGAGGTAGCCTTGATAATGCATCGGCTAAAAAGTTTTTCCCTCCAGGGATGAATTTTAAAGTGAACTTGAACCGGCTGAAAAATTGGGCCCAGCGTACTTGTTTCGGAGATAACATTCTCGGAGTTGTAAGGGACTCTAAATTCTTGTGGTCCATCCACACCTCAAAAGGATGTGATCCCCCTTCAAGGAGGTGCGTCCATGTCATAAGGGCCCAACGTACTGCAAAAGCCTCCTTTTCCCAAATGAGCCACCTTCTTTCTGTTTCAGTAAATTTGCGGGAAATATAAGCACAGGGTTTGAGTGTCTTTTTGTAGCAAGACAGCTCCAATTGCTACGTCAGAGGCATCGGCTTGAATTACAAAAGGTTTGTCCGGGTCTGGGTGTTTTAAAATAGGTTCTGCCGTAAACAAGGTTTTTAAAGCCTCAAAGGCCTTTTGGCACTCCTCTGTCCATATTAATGGGGCCCCCGGCTTTTGAGCTTTCACTGTCCCTTTGCTTTTTGTTTTTAGTAAATCCGTTAATGGCAAAGCAACTTGTGCAAAGTTTGGAATGAACTGGCGATAGAAATTAGCAAAGCCCAAAAAACTTTGTAATCGCCTCCAGGTTTTGGGTGGTTCCCAACCCAAAACATCTTTCACTTTTGCAGGATCCATTTCAATCCCTGAATTAGAAATACGATACCCCAAGTAGTCTACTTGTTCCTTATGAAATTCGCATTTTGACAGCTTGGCATATAACTGAGCCTCCAGTAATTTTTTTAAAACAGCTCGCACCAATTTTACATGGTCTTTTAAGTTGTCTGAGTAAATAGCGATGTCATCTAAATAAACCAGCACTCCTCGATACAAATGTTCATGTAGCACTTCATTAATTAGTTGCATAAATACCCCGGGGGCCCCCGAAAGTCCGAATGGGAGGACCTTGTACTCATAGCAGCCAAAAGGGGACGAAAATGCTGTCAAATGCTCGTCTCCTTCGCGAATCCTTACCCAGAAATATGCGTCCCTTAAGTCCAATTTAGTAAATATTTTCCCCTTTGATAATTGAGCTAGCAGGTCCTTCATTAAGGGGAGGGGGTACTTATTTTCTTTGCAGATGGCATTGAGACCCCTATAGTCCGTACAGAGTCTCAAACTTCCATCTTTCTTTTCCCAAAATAAAACGGGTGCCGCCATGTGTGATTTACCCAGCTGTATAAAACCCCTCACCAGATTGGTGTCTATGAATTCCCTTAGAGCGGCAAGCTCTTTCTGGGTCATAGAGTAAGTTTTCTTCTTTGGGAATTTAGCTCCTGGCTGAATTTCAATAGCACAGTCGGTGTCTCTGTGGGGAGGCAGTGTATCTGCTTCCTTCTTGCTGAACACAGCCTGTAAATCCCTGTAGGGCTTAGGAATGCTCTTAAGGGACTCTGGGTCCAAATCTAAAGATTGACTTATGCTGCTAGCGGTTGCAGCGGTTGCAGTTTTTATTTTTTCTGCCTCCTCAGGCCCCAAATAAATTCCATCTGCGAATTGGATTTGTCCCGTCTTCCAAAAAACTCAGGGATCCCACCTTTTC